TTTTTTTTTTTACTGAAAATGGTGTATTATGTAGGAAACCATGGAATTGTCTGACATTGAACTATCTGTCATTTATTGGAACTTGATGTTATCTGAATGTTGTGATTCTTAACCAGTTTGCTACTTATTTTCATAGTTGATTATTCTATTTATGTCCAAATATCGAAAAAAGAATGATGCACGGACAAAGTTCTTGACAAGTAGTTTAGTGTGAATTGAAGCTGGGAGAAGCTGTTCTCTTTCGTCGTGTATGTCACTATTTTGCCGAATTGATCAATTGATTGCTTTTCTTCACCACTGGATTTTAGAACAATACCTTTACCTGGCAGCTTTTTTTTTTTATGTGCGTAAACCTGGACTTTTGATGTTTATTTTTTGAGTGGAATGTATTAGTTAGAAGGAGAGGGGAATATATGGCCACCGAGAATTTATTTGGATATTTCGTGAGAAGTTATGTTGAGGAGCATTTTAAATTACATGTCCAACGCACTTGTATCATTTGAATTTTTTGTGAGTTGGTAGGGCCTGATATAGTTGGACTTGAAAATGGCATGTAAACAGTATTTGTGTTGTAGTTAATTAGGGTGGGTAATGTAGTGATTATTGATAGTATTGTGATGGGATAAAAGTGTGTGTATGTTCAATAAGACCAAATTTTGATTTTTATGCATAGAGAGGGATGCTTTGATGCCCTTAGTTTATGATATATCATATTTCAGGATCATCCAATGCTTGCTAGGGAATACGAGAGGGTTAGAGCTGGGAAACCTCCAGCACCTATAGATACATCCAGATATGGACTTGAATTACCGCCTTTAAACAGGCGTAATGATGAGACTGCTTGGCAGCAGGCCCTCCAGAAATCCCAGCGTTTATTGCAGCATCAAGTCATCAGGTAGTTCTCTTGAATTTGATATTCCGGTAACCTTTAAATCTCATATATGTCCTGGTAAGCAAATTTGAAATGGAAAATGTGAGATTTTCCGAATGGTGTCATTTGATGCTGGAGCATTGCAGTGTTATTTCAGAATTTTCGATTGATGGAATTAAAAATCAGTGAACTTCATCCTTATTTGAAAACCTTTCCCGCTCCATCTTGAGCTGCTGTTGTGTATTATATGTTTTGGTATCCAAATGTGGACGTTGGACACTTTTGTTATATGATCTTCTGCAGTCGACATTAATTTAGTTCCTTGTTTTTGTAGGCTTGAAAATCTAGAGTTGATGTCGAAGCACGGCCCTGAGGTTTGGAAGTTGTATAATCAGCAGCTGGAGGCATTCTCGTCGAGGTGTGTATTTTCACTTAACATGTTATGATGTCCCTATTGAAACATTTTGTCAACCATCCATGCTTGCAGTCATTATTTATCAGTTAAGATCCCTTTTATCCAATCATGTATGGATTTTTTCTCCTGTTTTTATTAATGTTTTATGTCTTTACCATTTAGGCAGTATTACCAGTAATTAGAAAACCATAAAACTTTATTGCCTTCATTTGTTATACATAGACCTTGTAAGTTGAAGTATTTGTTTCAGGTATGATAATTATTTTGTATGTTTTGTTGTTTTCATTGAACCAGTAGCACAACATATTTTATTTGAAGTATCACATAATCTACTTTTTCCACTTCCTCTCGATGTTGTAACTAAATTCATAAATTTAGTAACACCTACATAGCCATTTTTTTTTTTTTTTTACCCTTGGTTTTTGGCTTCCTTTCACAGAATGCAAGCCCAAGTTCTGGAGCTTTATAGACAGATCGAATCCGTAAATCGAGAGAGGAAGTATCACCAGGTAATTCAGAAGAGAGTAAAAATTAGTTTACTATTTTTTTTTTTAATTTTCTTTTCCCCATTTTTCAATTGTTGCTGCTTCTAAATTTGTTCAGCAAAATACTGCGTACGAGCTCAATGCTTTATCCACACAATGGAGGGAGCTTTGTTTGAAGAACATTGAAATCCAAGCCGCATGTGCTCAAATTGAAACTTCTATTAAAGAGCTAAAGCGTGAAGCTGCTGAACGGTAATTAATTCCTATTTCGTTTCTTTGTCTTTCCCCTTTTTAATGTCTGTTAATGAGTTTCTAGTTATTGTAATCAGGGGCTGGAATTTGGACGATAATATTGAGAACGGTCCTATTACTGCTGCTGAAAAATGAGGTTTGGGTTCTGTTTCTTGACCTTCTATATTGTGTGTTGATTGCATTACCAAAATAGGTTGAAAGCGTGTTATTTTATGCATGCATGAAAATTTGACATTATTATCTCAAAATTATGTACTTGTGTTTTCATATTCACTGACCCAAATATTCCTCTTTTTATTTCGCCTTGCCTTGCCTTGCAGGTACCGAAAAGATTGATGGCATTTTAATTAATCAAATTCAAGGGGACTTGCCTTGCACCAAAGTGCCCTACCAACTTGTTTACTAAAAGTAGAAAAAATTTAAATTTTGTGAAGACCTAGAATTTATGGTACTGCTCTCTATTGGAATTTGTATTGATGTATTATCTTTATCTTGGCTTCGGGCTAGCTGAATTCTCATAGCTGCTGAAGTATGAAATTCTGAAAGGGTTCGCTCATTATGCTTTCTTTTTCATTTCGTGTTTTAAAAAGTAGTTCCATAGTAGTTCGATATGCCCCTGGACACTGCACTTGGATCGGCTTTTGAAAAGTTTCACAGCGATTCGTGTAAAATTAGTTCAATTTGTTTTGGCCTTATTAATGTTTCAGGTAAGTAAACATAAAATGCCCGCTAATTTCCCTTGGTGTATACTTACATTTGCTCGGTGTGAGGGCGTTAGGTCTCTGAAGATAATTCTGTGAGCCCCTCGTAGTACAACTATTGCATGTCGATATGTTTTACGGTGAAATCTTGTAGGAGGCAGCCTAATAGTTAGGTGGGTTGATTTATCATATTTTATTTTCAAGGAAAATGCATATTCATGCTATGAAATATCACATTTTTGTTTATATTGTTTTTTAGAGTATGAAATTATAGTTTGAAAGTATGTAATTAGTGTGAATATCTAATCGTTAGGTTGAAAAAGTACGACTGCTACTAACGGTCCGCCTAACGGATGTCTTACTGTTTCAAGTTGTTTATATTGTTTTTTTAGAGGGTGACGTTTCAATTTGAAAGTATGTATAAATGTATAACTGTGTAACTGTTAGACTTGCCTAATATAGTAGTGTTATTATTTCGAGTTAAGCATAGCTTGCAACATGTTTTTTTTTTTTTTTTTTTTTTTTTTTTTTTTTTTTTTTTTTTTTTATTTGTAAAATTAGAAATTATTTCACCAAACCATCTTATGGATAGTTTCAAGTAGGGTATGTCCTTTGTAAATCAGTTGAAATCCAATTGTTCAGTTAAGGTATTTTCTCAAATATTGAGCTCAGTTTGGAGGTATTAATACTAAAATTGCACGTCACAAGATTGACTCGTTAAACCAGTGTTTTAAATACCGTACGGGTCATCATACCGGACGAGCCAACAGTATGCGGTTCAATTGGTTTTACTGTCTATTTTATCGATTTTAATAAATATTAAATTAATTTATTATTATTATTATAATATAAATAATATACAAAACTAAACTTTAATTAATACTAAAATTAATTAACATCTAATAACAATGTACACATTTAAAATGAAGTGTAAAACTTTCAATTTATAAAAAAGATTAACTTTAATTAATACTAAAATTAATTAACATCTAATAACAATATATAAACTTTCAATTTATATATATATATATATATATTTTTCAATATATATATATATATATATATATTTTTTTTTTTTTAAAAGCGGTATTTTTGCCAGTATTCGCCGGTAATACCGGTAATATTCGGTATGAAACCGGTGTAAAACTGTATTTTGGTCAAAACGTTGTTCAAAGTGTACCAGTGGGATTCACGGTATCCGGTATTACCTGTAATACCGAGCGGTACGGTACTCTATTAAAAACATTGCATTAAACACAATCATCCAAGCAAAATTCAAAATAGAATTGCGGATATATTATCATCATCAATTCATCTCAATGATTTGTTTGCTGAAATTTGTTCTCAAATCCTGGCATCATCAAGCTTGGATATATAAGCAACAAGTAAATATTATATTAGTTCATCTGATAAATATTTAATATATGCCAAATAAATAACTATGCCATGATTCTGGGATTAGTTGTCATTTGCAATTAGCTGGTACTTTCCTGTCATCAAGTCCCAGCCATTTTTTCTATTCAATTCATATTCTCTATTATATGGTTTCAATTAAAAATGTGAAGATTCTAAGGAATGTTTCTAACCGTTTAATCATAAATTCGTTTGTTAGGCGGCCTAACCGTTAGACAAATAGACTCGTCATACATTTACAACAAAAATCCATATTTATGCTATTTAATGTCGGTTTATGTTGTTTTTCTTAAAGTACATCATGTGTCAATTTAAGGATAATGTTCAATCACAAATTCTTGTGTGAGGTGCCCGAATCGTTAGACGGGTTGATCCGTCGTTAACCGTTGTTTAATTTGTTATTTTTCACTAATAAATGCCATTTGTTTATCTGTTTTTCTAATACTCTTTTAAAAAGAATTGTGTGCGTGGATCGTGTGGTTTTATATGATATTATTGCAAGATATTACACTCAAAGTCAAATTCAATATCTGTTTTTTTTTTTTTTTAAATTTTTTTTTTTTTTTTTTTTTT